GCCATGCAGAACTAAAGAAAGAGCCTCAATGAACTTTGTTATTTTTACTCTGGAGGGATTGGATCATGCTGTCATATGGTAAATCTGTAGTTACCACCTGCCTGGGTTCTCAAACTGTTCTGAAGAACATTAGCTTTGTAAGTTGTTAAAAGACATTTTGGGGCAAATCAAGTTCGAGAACTATATGGCTCTCTTGGAGATTCATAATGTACATTAATTAGCATATTAAAAAGTTGGCAGGAGTAGTGCTGCAGGAAGAAATTCTGTACAACCTGGCATTTTCCAAACTTATTTGAACCATGGAACTTTTTTTTTTTTAACCCACAGAACCATTAACATATTGCAGTAAATAGTGTTCTTCATGATGCTGTTTGGGAAATTCTGTGCTAAATTATGTCTAAAGACAGGTTTGCAAGCTCTAAAATAGCCAAGCAAGAGAAGTGCCAGGGCCTCTTAAAGGTGCCAATTTCTGAAGGTCCTAACCTTTTGGGAAAAATGAAGACAGCCAAGACTGAGAGCAGAAGGCAGACAGAAGTACTCCTCTTTCTGCCCCTGCCCCACTCCTTCCTCAAGCCTAATATGGGGCAGAGGCTCCACTTTTAATCTTATATCTAATTAGCATTTAGCACAGCAAACTCGAGCAGCTTGTATACTTCTCTTTCTCCCCTTTAGTAGACCATGAGCTTCTTGAGGGTAGAACCCAGCACAGCACCTCTGCTGTTGGCTGAACAAATGGATGAACCACATTGATTCTGGTTTATATTATCAATTTAATGATGAAAGCAGCTGACATTTATTAAATAGTTGCTGCATAATAGGCACAAGGTTAATACCCTATGAGGCAGGTATCATGATCCTGATTTTAAAAATACAGAAACTAAACTTAGAAATTGCCTAAAAGCAACTCAGCCAGTGAATGATGGAGTCCAACTTAAAACCTAGGGAACAGGACTTCAGAACCTATGTTCTAAACCATTACACTTTTTTCCCTCTCTTCCAAGTTTTGTCTTAGCAGTAAAATCCCATGACTCTGCAGGGAGAATTCAAGTAGAACTCAAACCAGTGGAAGAATCACTAGTAGGACTGTCAGGATTAGGATGGTTTGAAAGCAAGGGGGAAAGTGCAAGGAGAGTGTGCAGAGGATAGGCACATCTGGCAGAGTGAGGGAACTTGGCAAGGATAGCTGAATACATGCTAGTCTTTCCATGTACACACTAGTGTATGAACAGTTAACATTACTGATATCACCCTTTTAAGCATGCAGGAAGGTGAAATAATGTCAAGTCTAAAAGACAGGAGTTACAGAGGAACACAATGAATCAATGGCATGAGTTTGTTCTCTGGGTCTACTGGGAAAGGTGAGGGTTTATTGGCTTGAAATCTGATATCTTATTCAATCCATCAAAATGTTTATTTACTTATTCGTTTATTGGTCAAATATTCATAAAGTTTCTACTATGTCCCAAGTATTATTCTAGGCATAAAAAATATGTCCATGAACAAGACATATAAGCATGCTAGTAAGCAGAGTCAGATAATAAACATGAGAAAATATCAGGTAGTGACAAATGCTGTGACACATAGGGTGATGGAGTTACTTTAGAATGGGACAGTGTGAGAAGTGATTTATAGGAGACCTGGATTACAGGGGCCCAAATACACAGAGTTCATGGGAAAGGGCACTTGAGGTGAAGGAATAGCTAAAACAGAGGCCTTCAGGTGGGAATGAATTTGGTATATTTAGAATATAAACAAAGAAAATGTGGAGTGGAGTGAACTGCAAAGAAAGTGATACTGATGAACTCAGAGTATATAGGCCATGACATATGCAACCCCGTGAGCCTGGGTAGAGAGACTAGGGCTTTTTAGGGGAGATGCAGAAATGGAGTCAGATGCAGGATATGTTTTGGAAGTAGAGACAGATTTATGGAAGAAATGAATATAGGAGTGAGAATCCAGGCTAATGCCTACTTTTTTTTGAGCTCCTGGATAGGTGGTGGTAAATAAATCAGTAATGAGGGCCTAAAGTATACAAAATATCTTACTTAGTGGTCTTTGCTCAATTAGCCATGTTTGTGGAAATTAAAGCCCTTGTCCATAATTTGTGGATAGAAACTGATGACAATAGTGAAAGCAGAGGATTTTAGGTTAATGGTCTTTTTTTAAAAGATTTTATTTATTTATTCATGAGAGACACAGAGAGAGAGAGGCAGAGACACAGGCAGAGGGAAGGCAGGCTCCCTGCAGAACTCTGGGGTCACGCCCTGAGCCAAAGGTAGACACTCAACTGCTAAGCCACCCAGGCCTCCCAGTTAATGTGTCTTTTTAAAAAAATTGTAAGAACCATAGACCATATAGTTTTTTATAATTTATATTGAGTAGATAGGGAAGGCCTCTCTGAGGAAGTGACATTTGAATTGAGACTTGAAAGATAAATTACACTATTTACCCAGATAAATAGTATAATTAGGTTTCTAAGACAGTTTAAGCTTTTAAACAGACAATACAAGTATTCTCAAAGTAATTTAAATTCACTCTCCCCAACACCTCCCATTTTGCTCTTACTTTGTGGACTACTTAATGGGTGATATTTGGTTAATTGCTATGGTGTGTTGAATGGCGGCCCCCTAAAAGATATGTCCACATCTTAACCCCTAGAACTTGTGAATGTGATTATGTTTGGAAGAAGCGTCTTTGTAGATGTAATTAAATTAAAGATCTTGAGATGAGATCTGGGCTAAGGATTACCCAGGCAGGCCATCCAATGATAAGAGTCCTTTCAAGAGATACACAGAAAGCATGTGGGGAGAAGGAGGGGAAGGCCCTGTAAAGACAGAAGCAGTGACTGGAGTTCTGCAGCCATGAGCCAAGGAGTGAGTAGAGCCACGAGAAGCTGGAAGAGGCAAGGAAGGATCCTCCCCTAGAGGCTTCAGAGGGAGCATTGCCTTGCCAACATCTTGAGTTCAGATTTGTGGCCTTCAGAACTGTGAGAGAATAAATTTCTGTTTTTTTTTTTTTTTTAAATCATCATGTTTGAGGTAATCTGTTATGGCAGTCCTAGGAAATGAATACACTTGGCTTCTCCCTGCTACTTAGTATGAATCTAGGCCAGCTTCCCCTAGATATCCATCGTTTTATACCCAGGGAATCCAAAGTTACACAGATAAAACAAACCAAGAAGTCAAAACAATGCTAAATATCTTATAACTCAAAGCCAAACATATATTTGGATGTCAGATATGACTGTATAATTTGTAACACTGCTTCTATTAGCAAGGATAATGAGGCATGGATTATATGGAGAATGCACATCCTAGGAAATGGCCTGAAGTCATTTGAAAGAAACATTTTTTTTTAACCACTAGGCTGCACTTTCCTTTGCCACCAATACCCTGAATCATTCTATTTTATACACCCTATAATTTTAACACAGATGGTGATTCATTGTTCTTTAAAGGAATTTTACTGTCTTTAGTTGAGCTTTTCAAAACAGGTATGCAAATATAAAGAGGAATTTATTAATATTATTTTTATAATAAGTGATGACTTTAAATCTTGTATCTTTGGATTTTCAGATGCTGTCAAATCCGTTTTGTGAAACAGAGCTATTCTGGAGAAATAACCCAGTGTTATTACACATACAAACATAACCTCTATGATACCATTAGTTTGTTTTTTTTTTTTTTTCAAGAGATTCTACAAGGTTAAAGGAGGTATTATTTTAAATAAACAAGCAAACAAGCAACTGTTCTTTAAAAAAGCTATGTGGATTAAGAAAATGAAATAAAAGGCATCCAGTTTGGAAAGGAAGAAGTAAAATAATGTCTATCTGCAGATGGCATCATCTTATATTAGAAAATCTTAAGGAATCCACCTAAAAGTGTTGAACAAGCAAGATTGTGTTGATAAAGCCTCAGGCAGTGCTTTGGTGAGATTTATAACTTACATATTGCAGTACCCAACAGTGAAATAGAGACACTGTCAGATCAACCAAAATCTAAGAGAATTCATTGCTAGCAGATCTGTACCAAAGAAAGGACAAAAGAAGTTCTTCCAACTGATGAGAAATGATACTAGATAAAAATTTAGATACTCAGGAATAAATGAAAAGCACTCAAAATGGCAAATACAAGCAAATGGCAAATGTGGGTACGTATAAAAGATCTTTTCTCTTAATTTTTAAAAAAGATTTTATCTATTTATCTATGAGAGACACAGACTGAGAGGTAGAGACATAGGCAGAGGGAGAAGCAGGCTCCCCATGGAGAGCGTGATGTGGGACTTGATCCCAGGACCACCACCTGACCTAAAGGCAGATGCTGAACTACTGAGCCATTCAAGTGCTCCTCTCTTAATTTCTTAAAAAAAAACTGTTGAAAGCAACAATCCTAATATTGTATTGTAGGGATTATATGTACAGAAGAAAGATAAATGACAACTACAGCATAAAACATATGGTGATGGTAAATGGAACTATATGACTGCAAGTTTCTTACATTTTACTCAAGCGGCACAATACTAACTTTTAGTGAATTGTGAAAGGTTATAATTTCTAGAGAAAGCATTAAGATATAAAAATGCAAAGAGATATACCTAAAAGGCCACTAGATCCAACTATATGTCTAGAAGAGATGCACTTACCTAAGACACAGATAGGAGGAACATAAAAGAATAGAAGAAGGCACTGTGCAAATAAGAACCATAAAATAAGCTGGAGTAATCATACCAATATCAGATAAAGTAGATTTCAAGAAAAGGTGTATTACTAAAGATAAACGGGGAACATTTCACAATGATAAAAGGGTCAATTCATCAGGAAAGCATAATAATCCTAATCAATAAGTGTGTATGTACTTAATACCAGAGCTCAAAATTCATGAAGCAAAGATTGTCATCACTTAAAGGGCAAACAGACAAATCCACACACCATATGTGAAGATTTTCTTTTTCTTTTCTTTTCTTTTCTTTTCTTTTCTTTTCTTTTCTTTTCTTTTCTTTTCTTTTCTTTTTTATGCTTCAAGAATTTGCATGTCATCCCGTGTAGGGACCATGCTAATCTTCTCTGTATCCGTCCAATTTTAGTATACGTGCTGCTGAAGCAAGCATGACATGTGGAGATTTTAACATCGTTCTCTCTGTGCTTGCTTCAGCAGCACATTATAATAACATCCTTCTCTCACTACCTAATAGAGAAACTCGACAAAAAAGTCAGTAAGGACAAAAAAGATCTGAACACTATCAACCACTTTGACCTGACATCTTTACAACACTACATTCAAAAATGCAGAATATACATTTTTTTCAAATGTATTAAAACATTTTTCAAAGAACTGATCATATGCTAGGCCATTAAACAAGTTTCAATCAATTTTAAAGAACTGAAATTTTATAGTGTATTCTCTACTATAGAACTAAATCAAATAAAAAAACAAAAATATATCTACAAAAATATTTGGAAATTAAAAAAAACTTTTATTTTATTTTTTTAGGATTTCATTTATTTATTCATGAGAGACACACACAGTGAGAGAGAGAGGCAGAGACACAGGAAGAGGGAGAAGCAGGCTCCATGCAGGGAGCCCTATGCAGGACTCGATCCTGGGTCTCCAGGATCACACCCTGGGCTGCAGGCGGCACTAAACAGCTGAGCCACCCGGGCTGCCCTAAAAAAAACTTTAAAATAACATATGAGGGCAGCCCGGGTGGCTCAGCGGTTTAGCACCGCTTTCAGCCCAGGGCCTGATCCTGGAGACCCGGGATGGAGTCCCACGTTGGGCTCCCTGTGTGGAGCCTGCTTCTCCCTCTGCCTGTATCTCTGCTGTGCTCTCTCTCTCTCTCTCTCTCTCATTAATAAAAAATAAAAATAAAAAAATCTTAAAAAAATAAAATAACATATGAGTCATCTAAGGGACTCAGAAAATCAGAAAATATTTCAAACGGTTTAATCAAAATGTAACATATCAAAATTTGTGGTACATAGATAAAACTATGTTTAAAAAGAAACTTATAGCTTCAAAACCTTATCTTAGAAATGGTAGGTAAAGTTCCATCATAAAAAGCTAGAAAAAGAAAACTAATATATACTGCAAATAAGTAGAAGAAAGGAAATAACAATAGAAAAATAGAAAAAAAAAAACATACAAGAAACAAAGTCAGGGGATCCCTGGGTGGCTCGGCGGTTTGGCGCCTGCCTTTGGCCCAGGGCGCGATCCTGGAGTCCTGGGGTCGAGTCCTGCGTCGGGCTCCCAGCACGAAGCCTGCTTCTTTCTCCTCCTGTGTCTCTGCCTCTCTCTCTCTCTCTCTCTCTCTCTCTCTCTCTCTATGTCTATCATAAATAAATAAATAAATCTTTAAAAAAAAAAACAAAGTAAAAAATTGGTTCTTTGAAAAGTTTAACAAAATTGCCAAACCCCTGGGTAAACTAAGAAAAAAGAAAAAAGCTGTAATTCACCAATGTTAGGGGAAAAAGAGGTGATTTCAGATTCTATAGATGTTGAAAAGATAATAATAGAATATTATGAGTGATTTTTCATTAATCCAATAATTTATTTTTTTTAAAATTTTATTATTTATGATAGTCACAGAGAGAGAAAGAGAGAGAGGCAGAGACATAGGCAGAGGGAGAAGCAGGCTCCATGCACTGGGAGCCCGATGTGGGACTCGATCCCGGGTCTCCAGGATCGCGCCCTGGGCCAAAGGCAGGCGCCAAACCGCTGCGCCACCCAGGGATCCCCTAATCCAATAATTTAGATGAAATGGGAAAATTCCTCAAAATCCCACAAATTATCAAAATTCATACAAGATAAAATACAAACTCAGAATACCTATGTATTAAAGGAATTAGGAATCCCTGGGTGGCTCAGTGGTTTAGTGCCTGCCTTCGGCCCAGGGCGTGATCCTGGAGTCCTGGGATCAAGTCCCACATCAGGCTCCCTGCATGGGGCCTGCTTCTTCCTCTGCCTGTGTCTCTGCCTCTCCCTCTCTCTGTGTCTTTTGTGATAAAAAAATAAAATCTTTAAAAAAAATTAAATTACCAAAACCTTCCTACAAAGAAACTGAAGGCCCAGTTTTATTGCTTACATAGAGAAACCTAATGGATCTATGAAACAACTAGAAAAGTGAATTTTCCAAGATTGCAGAATACAAGAACAACATACAAAAATCAATTGTATTTTAGTAATAGCAGCAAATAATTGGAAAATGAAACAAAAATTCCATTTATAGTAGCATGAAAACTGTAACATGCTTAGGCATAAATTTCTAAAAGTATGCGCAAGACCTGTTTACTTAATACTACATAGACACTGCTGAGAGAAATCTAAGAAGATCTAAAAAAATGGAGATATATAATATGCTCATGAATTGGAAGACTCAATATCACTAATATGTCAAGTCTCTCTAAATTAATCCAATATTCAATATTGTTATAATCACAATCCCACCTCTTTTTTTTTTTAAGATTTTATTTATTAGAGAGAGAGCACGAGTTGGGGGGGGGCAGAGGGAGAGGGAAAAGTAGGCTCTTGGTTGAGCAGGGAGCCTGATGCCCAGGGCTCCATCCCAGGATCCTGGGATCGTGATCTGAGCAGAAGGCAGATACTTAGCCAACTGAGCCACCCAGGTGCCCCAATCCCACATCTTTTTTTACACAGAAAGTGACAAGCTGATTCTAAAACACAAAGGACCTAAAATATCTAAAGTAATCTTGAAAAAGAAGAATCCACTTTGGAGATTTATAATACCTGACACTTTAAGACTTTCTATGAAGCTACAGTACTTATCAGACTGAGTATGGATATAGACTCATAGCTAGACATATAGATAAGTGTAACAGAATAGAGACCTTATAAACAGACCTACACTTGAAACGTAATTTAATTTCTGATAAAATGCCAAAGCAAACCAATGAAGGGCATTTTCAACAAAGAGTGCTGGTACAACTGGATATCCATGTGGAATACTCTACCTCACACCATATATAGAAATTAATTTGAGATGGATCACATAAGAAATGGAAGAGCTAACGCCCTAAAGCCTGTAGGAGAAAATACAGGAGAGTATCTTCACAGTTTGGTGGAAGATAAAGGTTTTATTAGGACCAGAAAGTAATAATAATAAAAAATCCAATAAATTAAACTTTATCAAAATTAAAACTTTTTTTTAAAAGATTTTATTTATTCATAGACACACACACACACACACAGAGAGAGAGAGAGAGAGAGAGAGAGAGAGAGAGAGAGGGGCAGAGACACAGGCAGAGGGAGAAGCAGGCTCCATGCAGGGAGCCGGATGTGGGACTTGATCCCCAGTCTCCAGGATCACACCCTGGGCTGCAGGCGGCGCTAAACCGCTGCACCACCGGGGCTGCCCAAAATTAAAACTTTTGCAAATGAAAAAGACATCATTAAGGAAGTGAATAAATAGGTAAGTCACAGTCTAGGAAAATATTCACAATATATGTATCTGATAAAGGACTAGTATCCTAGACTGTTTCAAGAACTCAAGTGAATAATAAGACAAGCAACCTAGTAAAAATGGGCAAAATATTTGAACAGACATGTCACCACAGAAGATATCTGAATGACAAGAACACAAGAAAACTGCTCAGTAGCAGAAGTCATCAAGGAAATACAAATGAAAAACATAATGAGATGTCTTTATATACACTCCAGAATACTGCCAATGGTGGACAAGAATGTAGAACAACACGAACTGTTGTCACTGCTGGTGGGAATACAAAAAGATACACTGTGAAAAAGGGCTTGACAGTTTTTTTATAAAATAAATACCTTCCCCTGGACCGAGCAATTCACTCCTAGGAATTTATCCAAGAGAAATGGAAATACATGTCCTCAAAAGGACTAACACAAAAATATTCATAGCAGCTTTATTCAAGGTAGCCAGTAACTGGAAACAGGTAAGGCAACCAATGAAAGAATAGATATACAGATTGTGGCGTGTTCATACAAGAAATTACCACTCAAAAAAGGAACAAACTACTCTACATGTGACAACATGGATGGACCTCAAAAACACACTGAGAAACACTTTAAAAGATTATACATTGGATAATTCCATTTATATGAAGTTCTAGAACAAACAAAATTGATCTATGGTGGAAAAACACACAGATTAAGGTTGTCTTGGTGCATCAGGGCAGGAGTAGACTATGAAGGGGTACAAAACGGAACTTTATTTATTTAAATTAGTTGCCTAGGTTTTTTTTTTTAAGATTCTATCTATCTATCTATCTATCTATCTATCTATCTATCTATCTATCTATGTATTTATTTATTTATGAGAGACAGAGAGAGAGGCAGAGACATAGGCAGAGAGAGGAGCAGGTTCCCTGCAAGGAGCCTGATGTGGGACTTGATCCCAGGGCCCCAGGATCGTGCCCTGAGCCAAAGGCAGACGCAGCCACTGAGCCACCCAGGTGTCCCAAAAGGGAACTTTAAACAAATATTGAACTTCAATTAGCATTCATGCTGAAGTATTCAGACATGACTTATGTCTATAATTTCCTTTGAATGCATCAAAAAATAAAAGAGATTGATGGATGAATATTTACACAGATATATTATCTGGGAAATACAGAAAAATGTTAATTGAAGTGGATATGTGTATGTTCTCTGAATAATTATTTCAATTTTTCTCAATGTGTAAAAATTTTCATGATATAATGTTGGGGGGAAAATCATGTTTTCACTTCCCCTGCTTCCTCACATGGCCTGTACTAACTGAAACTGAATTTATAGGAAGTAAACCAATAGGGGGTGCTAATCTGAGTCATGATTTTATCTAAATAAAGCAAAAAACCATGTTAACACAAAAAATAAATCAAACCATTGCTTCCCACCAAAGAATGGATTGAAATGGATACTGACTTTAGCTTCACATCAAATATGTCATGACTCTGGCTCCAATGAGAGAAGTTCCAAAATTTCTAAAGATAGGCATCTGCCTTGACCACAGCTTTTAGCACAAGAAAATACATTTGCTGAGCTTGGCCTCTCAGGGTGAAATGCAAGGCTCATGCAATGGCAACAAAACGAAACAGGCCAAGAACAATGTCAATTAAAAACTCACATATTAACTATTAAGGAGGGATAGTCACCTAATAGGTTACAGATTCAGTGTTTATACCTTCAAGAACAAATTTCTGGGTTTCATTACCTTTATCAAGAGATGCCCCTGCCATATGGTAAAAGCTTAAAGCAGTGTCCACATCATTAATATTCTTTAGGAAAGTAAAGAAGTTCTCCACTTCCTGGAATGTCAGACCCTGAAAGAAGAGAGAGAGCAAGATAAGGCTGCAATAGGTAACAAAAAGCAGCACAAAATGCAGAGAACTAGGTAATTATTCAGGTCTATACATCTGAAATTTATGCTATGTTTAGAATAGAAACTGAATAAATTTGTCAAGGAATGACAAATTTGTATATGTATACAAATATGTATATTTGTATATGACAACTCTAGAATTTTGCCCGGCTGGCTGGCTAATTGCTTTCCCCTCCCATGTAAAACCTGACATGAAGCTGTTTACTGTGATGGCTGGATAGCTTTAATAAAAGTATTTCTGACCCTGCCCTCCAATTAGTCACAGTATCTATTATGACATTTCCTAAATGAGCTTTTAGCCCCTTGATCTGTTACATGTTATACATCTTAACAAGTTGGACTAGAGTTAAGACTTCCATTTTAATAATCTACCCTTAGGACAGCTAAGCTTTCTGAGGCTTAAACTAATTAAAAAAATCACCAAAGTCAGTAATATATAGGGGAATGGTTTGAGAATTTAGCAGAACCCAAGCACTTGGGAAGCTGTTCATTGTGTCAATCTAAAAGCTACTAACAAAGCAATTTGCCACTTAACTTTAATTGGATGAAATTCCCTAAATGAAGTTCTTTTCAAAAGCTGCTCCTAAGATTTGCTGATCTGATTTGACTTTCTCTGATGGCTCAAGAGAGAGTAGTTGTATAACTAGGGCCTGGGAGTCTCCTTACAGGGTAAAGGATTTGTCCTATTTGACTATTTCCACTTCTCACACATCATGCTGTGACGGAAGTAAATAAAATTTCTAAGAAGTGGATTACACTGGGGGAGACATTGAGGTGAATGCCTTTTAATGAAGCATCAGGTTAACACTGCCCATGTCGACTGGCTTCCACTTGGTGCTGCTCCTCTTCTAATTTCCATTTCCCCAAACTAGAGAGCTCAGGCATCCACATGGGGAACTTAGAAATAAGGAAACTTCAATACAGACAATGTATAGAATGTTCTTTCCTGGTACTCTTCAAAGTGGGTCAATCGTATCTTTCTCATTTAATCAATCAAACTAAGAGCTAAAATACTGTATGTATGATTATGTCACATGATTTTTTATCATTTTCCTTAGAATAATAGAAGTTAAAAAACTTTTTATTGTGGACTATGATGACCATATAGAAATCTGCATAAAACATAAATGTTCGGGATCCCTGGGTGGCGCAGCGGTTTAGCGCCTGCCTTTGGCCCAGGGCACGATCCTGGAGACCCGGGATCGAATCGCACGTCGGGCTCCTGGTGCATGGAGCCTGCTTCTCCCTCTGCCTGTGTCTCTGCCTCTCTCTCTCTCTCTCTCTCTCTCTCTGTGACTATCATAAAAAAAAAAAAACAAAACATAAATGTTCAACAAACTGTTGTAAAATGAACACACCCACCGAACCTCCACTCAGGTCAAGGAACAGACTATTATCACCATCCAGAAAGCCTTCCTCTCTCCCCTCAATAGGTTCCATCTGTCATAACCCCCTTTTCCCACTATTCTGACTTCTAGGGAGTTCATTTCCTTCCTTGTCTTTTAAAAAAATAGTGTTACTATCTCTTTATGCATCCTCAAACAGAAATAGTTTAATTATGCTTGTTTTGAACTTCATAAATGGAATCATGCAGTATGCATTCTATTACATATGGCTTCTCTCTTTAAACTCTATGTTTTGTATTCTGTAGTTAACTCATTTTTATTGCTGTTAGTATTCTATTATGTGAATATACCATGATTTTTTAAACCATTCTACTTGGGTTGTTTCCAGTTTTTGGCAATTATGCACAGTGGTACATCTGTATTTAAGTATGCATTCAAACATTTATGGAGTACCTACTATGTATCAAGTTCCATAATTTTTGGCAGTGAACTGGAAGGCTTATGTTAAATAATTTTTCTCTAACTTGAGGCCATTCTCTTGGCCTTGACTTACAGCATCCAGAAATAGGGCTTATTCCTTATATAAATGCTTTAGTATGCTATCTATATTTTTAAAAATATTTTATATTTATTTATGACAGAGAGAGAGAGAGAGGCAGAGACACAGGTAGAGGGAGAAGCAGGTTCCATGCAGGGAGCCCAACATGGGACTTAATCCCGGGTTTCCAGAATCATGCCCTGGGCCAAAGGCGCAAAACTGCTGAGCCCCCCGGGCTGCCCCTTTACTATGCTATCTAATATAAACACTAGGCTAGAATCAACCTTATAGAGGTGAATTCTATTGGACCAGAAGTACAAATTCTACAATATCACATGCTTGTATATGGATATCCTAATACCATCTTCTCTTCCCTTCCATCAGAAGACATGAGTGGTGGAAACAACCCAAGTACCCACTGATGGATAAATGTATAAACAAAGTGGAATATGATTCATTCTTTAAAAGGAAGGAAATTCTGACATAAGCTACAATATGGATGAACCTTGAAGACATGCCAAGTGAAACAAGCCAGTTACAAAAGGTCAAATACTATATGATTCCACTTATATGAGGTACTTAGATTATTTAGATTTATAGAGACAGAAAGTAGAATGGTGGTTGCCAGGGCTGGGAGGAAGGAGGAAAGAGAACTTTTTTTTTTTTTTTTTTAGTAAGCTCTATGCCCAACATGGGGCTTGAACTCATGACCCCAAGATCCAGAGTTGCATGTCCTACCGACTGAGCCAGCCAGGTGCCTGAAGAATTGTTGTTTAATGTGTACAGAGTTTCAGTTTGGGAAGATGGATGGTGGTGATGATTGCCAAAATATGAATGTATTTAATGCCACTGAATTATACACTTAAAAATGGTTAATGTAAAATTCTTTTTTTTTTAAGATTTTATTTATTTATTCATGAGAGACAGAGAGAGAGAGAAAGGCAGAGACACAGGCAGAAGGAAAAATGGGCTCCCTTGATGCAAGACTCAATCCCTGGACCCAGGATCACGACTGCTGAGCCACCCAGGCATCGCTTAATGTAAAATTCTTAAAACAAAGGGCATGGTACAGGAAATGCTACCCATTCTGACAGACAAGCTCTAATGTTTGTTAGTAAAATTCATCGTGAAATGTCAAATACAGTAGAATAGGTCATAGTACTCATGCTGAGATTTAAGGACAGACAGAAAATCTGAACAAATGGCTATTCATTTGATGATTTAGAAAAACAGTGGGATACAAATCACATTAATGCCATTATTAAATTGAAATATGTAACATTTTACCTTTTATTGTATGGCTATAATAAAAATATTTATTGAGCACTTACTAACAACTCAGCACTATGCTAGGAACAGTGAGGGAAATAAAATTGCTCTGGATATGGGCCTTGATTTTATAGAGATTACAATTTAAATAGGTCTCCTTAAAGAAAAGTTGATGCCAGTCACAAAAGTCTTACTTCTTTGTAACTACCTTAGTAAAAAATTGCCAGAGTTTTCTGGCAATAAAGTTATAATAAGATTCTAATATGAAGTTTGTGGATGAAAAGTGAAAGGATGTGCTTTCTGCAAATTGAGGTGTTCAAATTGGAAGGCATTAGCCGTACATAGTCCACCAGCAGGTGACTTGACCTGCAGAATCATAGTCAAAAGGAAATCATCTTCCTTAGGCATGGCATCAAAAGGGATTTCTTGACACACTATGGGGAAGCCAAAGGAGGAGTTATTTTATTCTGTGACCAATTGTTCAACAAACTTGGAAAGATGAACTTACTTAAACCTGGGCTGTAGATGACTGAAAAAAGAAGATAAGGTTAATATACTTTGTGGGCGGTAGAAACACTTCTTTGTTTATTAAAAATGAATTTAACATTAGGAATTTTTTTTAATTTTAAAAAAATTTTTTTTTATTTAGTTATGATAGTCACAGAGAGAGAGAGAGGCAGAGACACAGGCAGAGGGAGAAGCAGGCTCCATGCACCGGAAGCCCGACGTGGGATTCAATCCCTGGTCTCCAGGATTGCGCCCTGGGCCAAAGGCAGGCGCCAAACCGCTGTGCCACCGAGGGATCCCCCATTAGGAATTTTTTAAACAAATAAATAGAATTGTCTTTCAAAGCTAAAAGCAACTGATATAATGTTTTAGAAGAAAACACAAAAAGTCTTCATAGCCCTGTGTTAAGACAGAGTTCTTAGATATGACCCTGAAAGCATAATCCATAAAAGAAAAAAGTTGATAAATTCTATTTCATCAAAATTAAAAACTTCTGTGTTTCAAAATACTGAAAGAACAGGAGTATCTGGGTGGCTCAGGCAGTTAAACAGCCAACTCCTGATTTTGAGTCAGGTCATGATCTTGGGGTCCTGGGATGGAGCCCCACAGTTAGGCCCTTTGCTCAGCAGGGAGCCTGCTTCAGGATTCTCTTTCCCTCTGCCCCTCCTACTTGCTCCCCCCGCCCCCCCCCCCCAAATACCGGGAGAACAAACAAATCACAGACTGGGAGAAAATATTTAAAAATCATGTATCTGATAAAGGATTTGTGTCCAGAACTATGTAAAGAATTCTTATAACTCAAAAATGAAAAAATAATAATACAACTTTAAAAAGTGTCTGAATAGGCATCTTACCAAAAAAGTTAATATGAGTGGCTAATGATGTAGGAAAAGACATCAGAGTTCAAAGCCACAGCCAAGAAAGAATTCTTGAGAAGTCTTTGGTGCAAAAAGGTGACTTTATTAAAGCACGAGGACAGGACCCGTGGGCAGAAAGAGCTGGGGTCATGAGGAGTGGCCCATTATATACTTTCAAGTTGGGAGGGGGTTAGGAATAATGTTAAGTCTCTAAGGAATTTAGAAGTAAGGTTTCCAGGACCTTGAAGGGGCTAGCTATTGTTGGGAAAAGGTAATTTATTACCGTCTAGCAAACCCTTAGTCATGAGACCCTTTAGATGTCTATCAGTGGGTCGTATGCTTGGCGGATGATTGCCAACACATATCTTGGGAGGGTAGATTAGAGATAAAGGAAATTCCTAAAGGAATTTTTTTATATGTTAAG